CCCAGTGACCTCTACTATTGCCATAAAACAGTTTACAGACGTTGTGGTAATCTAATTTCAGCAGGACAGGGAATGAAAGAGCAATGTTGTTCATTCTTCTTTTCTGTCTCCTGGCTTGGGGCTGGAGACTGGAAAATTCTTGCCATTTGCATATCTAAAACCTGTTATAATCTGGCAGTAATGTCCCTCCCAACACTTCCTTTTATTGTTGTTCTAGCAATATTAAATTACAATATTGGGAGATTCTAAGTTATTTTTTATAGAATTGGGGATGGGGTATCCAAGATCAGATTTTTCTCCTCCTTGAGCAGACCACTTGTAGAGATGCAGATCCAATCTATCCGGTGGGTCAAGTAGGAACACAAGAGCAGACCACTTGTGGAGATGCAGATCCAATCTATCCGGTGGGTCAAGTAGGAACACAAGAGTGAAGGGCTAAAAGACATGTGGGAGCTCATGAAAGAGTTAAAGGAATGGGATTTCTAGCTAGTTTACATCCTAAGGCAGGGGTCTTCAAACTTGGCCCTTTTATGACTTGTGGACTTCAACTCCCAGAATTCCTCAGCCATATGTGCTGAACAACAATAATAACAATGCTGTTTGAAAATACTCTTTGTTCTTGACTCTGCTATTGTGAGATGCCTATACTAAATAATCTGTCTGGCTATCAGTTATTGTCCAATAGAATTTAAGGTGCTGGAGTTGACCTTCAATGACTGAAATGGCACAGGGCAGGGGTCTTCAAAGTTGGCCCTTTTATGACTTGTGGACCAACTCCCAGAATTCCTCAGCCAGTGTGCCTGGCTGAGGAATTCTGGGAGTTGAAGTCCCCAAGTCATAAAAGGGCCAACTTTGAAGACCCCTGTCCTAAGGCATTTAAGACTGAAGCTTTGTTCGTGTTTTATAAGTAGTAGCCCTGGAGTAGCTTTGGCTTCTAGTTGAATAAGATTTGGGCCAATTATTCAAAAATAGAGCTATGTAGAATCACATGAAGAGGAAGATATTTCTATACTGTTCTATGAAGTCAATTGAGATTCCATCAGTTTCCTAATTTACAAATAAGAAGGATCTTTTGGTCCTTAGAGTAAAAGATGGACAACCTAAATCCATGCAACATATGTGTTTTGCCCTAGCTCAAGAGGCCTCTCCAGGCAATTTTAGATCCTTGGTATGACTTAGCTCCTCTTTCCTAACGTGTTGGGAGATAGAGAGAATGGGGTGTGTGAGAAAAAGGTGCATCAGAAGTTGGAAATGGGAGAAAGACTAATTGTGGCTTCTCATTTGACTCAGCACTTAGTTATCCTCCTTTTGGCGTCAATGGTGGTGTTCCCATTGCTGAAGGGGCCAAGGGGTAAAATGGACAGAGTGTCAGTTGCATCATCACATCGGTCTTCTCGACTTTTCTTTTAACCATATTTTGCGATTCCTCTGTTTGTAAATCATATTCTTGGTATACTACGGAATACAATTCCCTTGACATTTTACTTGAGAGAGTTTGGAGGTTTGGCTAATATGTTGTTCAAATATTTGTCCTTACTAATTATGAATCAGACACACTAAGTACATCAAACTAGGGAAAAAAACTCCACAAGAAGGAGAAAATAAATGATTGAAGCAATGGCCTATTGAAGATTTTTGAACCTATATAGTGAGTGGGATGAGGAAAAACTTCTCGGTAGAGCCCATAACAGACTTTATTAGTCCAAGCAGTATTGGGTCTAGTCAATTACCTTTTAATTTTCATTTAATCTGCATTAATTCCAGATTGATAATGAGTTGTGTGTAAGGTTTGTCTCTACTTGGCAACTGATACCTTGAAGACTTTGAAATAGATTTATATCTGTTTATAATTTCTTTTCTCTTCTGATCTTACTAGTTCTATTCCCCTTTAAATGTTTTCCATTTGTTTGCTGAAGTTTGATCTTAGTGAATTTGTTATAAAAGTATTTCTCTGTTTCAGAGTTTCTCAATCTTGGTAACTTTAAGATGCGTGGACTTCAATCCCATAAAGCCTGGATGGGGAATTTTGGGAGTTGAACTCTAGTAATATTAAAGTCAACAAGGTTGAGAAACATTGCTGTATCTTAATTTTTTTCTCCTACAATTAACAATATATATAATCACATATCTTGTGTAGGCGTTCCCCTACAAATTTACATACGTGCATTGAAACCACTGCATGTCAACCAAAATGTATTTGCCATAGCCTTTTGTTGCCATATTTGTGATTTTGCAATCTTTCAGGGAGCCAGTTTTTCCCATGAGGAAAGAATGGCTTTGTAATAATGCTTGTAACTGCCAAAATATAGCAGATGTGTGTCCATCATCCCCATTAATGAGCCAGGAGAACTTTAATTACATTTTAATAAACATAGGGTGATGTTGTGCAAAACAGTTCAAGATTCCCAGATATTACTTAGCTTGATACAAGAGGATTTGAAGTGCAGTTCTCCATCTCTCTGTGTCAAGCAGTTACCTGCCAGAATCCCTTCTGGTGCCTACTATGAAAGCTATATGAAAGAGAGCTGTGTTCATCTTGGCAAGACACAGTATGGAAACCATTGGCTACTTTTTGCCTGCTACACAACATAATGAATTAAAGCATTATCTTCAGTTTTTTGCACCTGGATCCAATTTTATTAAATGTTGTTTGTTTTAAAAATTCTGTAGATTGAGTTTATTGGCAGGGTTTGGTAGAAGCTGCACAAACAGCCAAGCTGTAGCCATAATAACACACTCATCTGCATATATAAATAATCTCCAAGAAGTCCTTCCAGTGAAAATACAGTTAATTGACTTTCTACATGCCTGGGTATTATTTTTCCTGTATTAATTCTGCCTTGTTAGGATGAAGAGCTATTAACATTAATATTCCACTCTTTGACATTGTTCTCATCAGTTTTCTTTTAAAAATCCCTCCCACCTCTGACAACTTCTCAAACAGCACATTATTCTCCACTGATTTTTCTGCACAGGAGACTACAGGCCTATTCCAATGAGGTGTTTCCTTCAAAAATATACTATATTCAAAGTCACTCCCCACATTTGCTTTTCAGCATAATGGAAAACATAAAGATTGGGGAAAAATATTGCCATGTTTTCGTATAAAATAGTCTTTGCCAAGTATGCTGAAGTATGCAATTAATGCAAATCAAGAGTCAAAAGCTAGCAGAATATTTTTAGTGCATCACTCTTGATAGTATTATCATTATTTTGCATTTTGAATAAAAATGGCTAGTGGTATTACCATTGATTCATACAGGGTACATAGATATATTTAGTGTTCCAGATTTTTACAGTATAAGCCAAGGTGAATATATACATTTAGTTACATGTTGATCCTCTGATGACACACTATATATTTATGGTCCTGTTATGTGTATTTCAGAAAGGTTATAAAAATATTAGAAAATCACATGTGTTGTATAAAGTGATCTATGCATATTTGGTTAATTTGGCTGCATTATTTGATTCTCAGCTTTCAATGAATGTATGTTCCATATTATGAAGGAGACTCACTTCCTTTCCAGTTTTTCTCATTTAAAAAAAAAATGCCATTTTATTACCTGAAATGTTCACATTGCTGGAACATTTTGGGTGATTTTATTTATTTTTTCCCAGAAAAATCAGGGATGGCAAGGAGAATATGGATGCTTTTTTCCCTCTAAATTGCTGCAGTGCATCTGCTTTATAGAATCTCCCCCCCTCTCCCAAGTGGTCAGAAACGGGCAGCGTAGGAAGCTAAATCAAGTTATGCAATAGAGGTAGTGAAGTTCTTTACCACCTATTATAAACAAATAAAACTATTTCTGCAAGGGACTCATTGACCGTACTTTGTAAGAAAATGTCAAGAGGAGATATTAGTGCATTATATATTCTCAGAGCAATATGAGATGGATTCCCTGAATTATCAGTGCCCATCATGATTCCCATCACAAATACATTGAAAGATAAATAAAACGCATCTATAAAACGTGATTCAGCATTGATTGATCCCTTCCTCCTGTGCCTTGCCTATTGATCCCTTGACTTTTCCTAAAGAGAATCCTTCAGATGTGCTTTCCCTTAGGTTGGCCAGGGTCCAGTTTCCCTGCAAGCTCTCCCTGTTGCTGTGCTGTATTTAAAATGTAGCTCCATCAGCTTTCTAAATACCCAAAATGGCACATTGCATAATGAAACACCACCGAAGACAACAGTTGCATTTTTGAAGGAAGAAAAATGACAGATTTAAGGACTCCATCGTCAATCACCTTAATGTCTTTGACACAGATGAAAACAGAATATCTAATGAGCTACTGAGCAAGTCTATGCCGGAAGTGGCTGTAGCTGTTGCAACTGTACATTTCAGCTCCTCTAATTGCTTTGGTAAGGAATTTGGACCCCCTCGTTTAATGAATGCCTTTTTGACTCTTTTCTGAAAGGCAAATGGGCTTTGAGAAGGGAGACACACTAGCATCTTTGATTTAAAACCACACAGACAGTTTTCAATTAGAACTTATCAGTTCTGCAAACTGCATTGTGCTAGAGCTGCACAATGAATCTTACCCTGTTCCACCCCTTCTTTTATTCCTTATGAAATGCGTGATTCCCACCCCCTCTTCGTTCAGCCCACCGAGTCCCCTTTCTCCCACCCTCGATGGCTCTGGAGGCTGCTTTCAAACCAGGCTTCTTAGATACTTTGCACTAGATGGAAATCAAGCATTCTTCCAGGGTGATGCCTGCACCATCCTAAGCCAAAGCAAGTCCTGGAATGTATATGAAGCTACAGCACACCTGCCATTTACAGGTTGCCCTTGAAGCATGTTGTGAATTTCAGCACTCTGTTTACTTTTTGCACCATTCTTCCCCATCCTTTATCTTTGCAAATAAACTTAAGGGAGGGACCCTTCCATGTCTGAATGGAAAACATGGACCCAGTACTGCAGATGTATTAGGTGTGCAAGAAAAGTTTTCTGTCAGTGGGTAAAACAGTCAAATGGATTAAAATGAGTAAAGTGGCATCACAACAGAGGCTGGGTAAACTCGACCTCAGACTTCACAGGGTTCCTGTGAAGGGAAAGGCTAACCTGCACTGACTGGAGGACACCTGATATGGCAGTGTGGTACCTGAAAAGTAAAAGAAGTTCGACCCAAACAGCTCTTAAAAATATGAGAGTGGTTCCTACCTCACATTCCCTGGAGCCTCCCTTGCTGTACGAACAAGGTCCCGTCCCGTTCAGCAACATCTCGCTGGTCTCGCTGTTGGTGGGCTTATAGTCAACATAAAATTCCTGGGTGGTGGGAGTCATCTGCTTCAGCGACTGTCGTTTCTTTTTCCGGTGCCGTCGCATTAGGGAGCGTTGCTGCAATTGCTTCATGCTGGCAGGGTAGCGCTTCCAGGACACGTAGATGACCAGCAGAATCACAAGCACGGACAAGAAGAGGGCCACACTCCCAGCAATGATTTTATGGAAGGAGATCTGCTGGGTGCTGGGCTCGGGCACGGAGCTGGCCTCAGGGGCCCCTGTGGTAGGGGGCAGGGGGGGCTGGCTGTCATGTTTAGGCCGGATGACCTTTGGTTTAAAGGTGGGCTTGGGCGGAGCTTGGGGCAAGTCAAACCTTTCTGTAGTACTTTTGCCACAGATGCTATAATTTTTCACTGCATCTATAACATTCACCCCTTGCAGTTCTTTGGGGCTGGCACAGATAATTGTATTTTCCCTCAGCCCTTTGAAACTTTTTAGCCAGTTTACCAGGGAACAAATGTTTCTGCTGCATTCCCATATATTCCCAGCAAGGCTGATGTCATTCAGAGATATCCAGGAATCCAAAATCTCCTGGCCAATGAATGTGAGCTTGTTGGAATCCAGGTTGAGGCGTTGCAAATTGGGCACACACTGGAAAACGCTCGGTCCACTGAAAGCTTCTATTTCATTTCCCGATAAATCAAGTCTTTGTAACGAGCTCCACGTCCAAGACATGGTTTGTCCTATAACACTAATTTTATTCCACTGTAAATAAAGGTTCTGTAGGCTGACCAGCCTTGGAAAAAGTGCCAAGTTAAGCTTAGAAAATTGATTGTGCTCCAGGTGCAGCTCTTTCAGCCTGATCATGCCAGCAAAGACATTCCTTGCTAGGCTTCGGATCCTGTTGTAACCCAGGTCTAGGAGTTCCAGGTTCCTACAGTCCTGGAAAATCCGGACTGGGATCGTTCTCAGGGAATTGGACCTCAGGTGTAAACTCAGCAGCTTCCTTAAGCCTCTGAATTGTTCTACTCCCAGGGAATGCAGCTGATTGTAGGAGAGATCCAAATTTCGGAGGTTTGTTACTGGTCTGAAGGTGTTATTAAGAAAAAAAGCAATTCTGTTGGAACTCAGAATTAACTCTTTCAGCCTGCGTATTCCATTGAAAGCATTTTCGTCGATGCTGCCGATATGATTGTGGTCTAAGTAGAGCCAGGTAAGTTGATTAAGACCTTTAAATTGGTTGTATTTTAGTTTTTGAAGGCTGTTATATCGCAAGGACAAACCTAAACAACCAGATGATATACCGGAGGGTATCTCTTGCAATTTCTGGGACTCACAATATACCATTTTGCCTTCACACCTACAGCCCTTAGGGCATCCTCGTTCAGCAGACGAAAGCATTGTCAGTAATACAGTGGGAGCTATTACCAGGGCTACTGCTGATCCGCTCAGTAGCCTAAATACATTGAAACCTGCAAACAGAAATAACTTAGAAAAGTTATCCCCCCCAAAAAACAGTCCACATATTTGTCAGTCATGCTCAGAAATGCTACGACAATAAAGAGGAATCCCCCCATAGAAGAAGTACTTTGCAAGCAGTTTTATTTTATTTCCCCCCCATCACCCCCCCTGTGCTATTTTAAGGTGACAAATCTAATAAAAAGAAAGAAAGAGCCTGTGTAAGCCAGACAGAGTCAAACTGAATCACACACTGAAATGTATCTCCAGTCGTAGCTTGCAGAGGCCAATCTACAGAGTGATTAATACAGAAGCATTGCAGGGATAGCTGTAGGCTCACTAGAAAGGAATAAAACGGAAACATACCCATCCTTTGTGTTTTCAAAGGTCGTCCTTTAGCTCTTTTGCTTTTTCCTAGGGGCCACAAACATGACAGCCCCTGTCAGCTGTTCTTTGGTGAGTCAAGGCTTGCTGACACCCAGGCAGCAAAATTGGACCCCCTGGGAAATGGACCAATTTTGGATCCTTATCCTTTGCCAGGCATGCAGAACATCCCAGGAACGTATAAATCCCAACCCAGCATTTGCAGCAGAAAGTCAAGTTCTTCCTAGGTGATAGGGTCTTCATGGATGAGGTGGTTTGGAATCTTTACATGGTAGACTCGGCTTCTTTAAAATCTCCCCGTGCAAAGCCTGAGAGGGTCTTGCAAGTGACGCTCAGCTGTCTGAATTCACCCATCTGTATTCCACTGGGCAGCAGTTTTCATAGTCTGCACCCTCAGTCCGGCGTTGGAGCAGAGAAGCCAGGATGACCCGGTACAATGAACAAGCACTGTTCACTTCTGCATCCTGTCACTCTGAAAGCTTCTCCGACTGTTGCTTTGGTATCAGTAAATGCAGTCTTATGTTAAGCTGCCCCCAGCGGTGAACAACATTATGGACATTGTGCAGAAATGCCTCCTTTCTTTTCTCTCTCTCTTTCTCTCCCCCCTCCCGCCCCCTTCTCGTTTTCAATCTTGCAAATGAATTAGCTCTGTGCTGGGAAATGAGTGATTGTTCTGGGTCACTAAATAGCAGCAGACCGGACAACCTCACTGTGCTGTAGTGAAACAGTAGTTTTGGCTGCGCCCTCCTTTTTTTACCCCTCTTAGATAATTTTAGCCAAGCCTTTTGTGCTGGGACTTTTTAGTGAGGATGAAGCTCAATTGTCACTTTTTCATTTAGGCATGAAGGCAGCACACACGTAATGCATACATATCTTGTGCCTAAACCAGGAATGCAATTGAACACCTCGGTATGTTAGGTGATTTGAAGCATGCTAATCCATGTTATTACTTTGTTATTGGTAAGATCCATGAGTATCGCGAGAAAATAAGACGTGGTGAGCAGCAGGATAATAATAACAACAACAACAACAACAACAACAACAACAACAACAACAATAATAATAATAATAATAATAATAATAATAATAATAATAATAATAATAATAATAAAGTTGGAAGTGACCTTGGAGGTCATCTAGTCCAACCCCCTGCTCAGGCAGGAAACCCTATACTATTTCAGACAAATGGCTGTCCAGTCTCTTCTTAAAAACTTCCAGTATTGGAGCATTCACCGCTTCTGGAGGCAGGTTGTTTCACTGGTTAATTGTTCTAACTGTCAGGAAGTTTCTCCTTAGTTCTAGGTTGCTTTTCTCCTTGATTAGTTTCCACCCGTTGCTTCTTGTCCTGCCTTCAGGCACTTTGGAAAATAGCTTGACTCCCTCTTCTTTGTGGCAGCCCCTGAGATATTGGAACACTGCTATCAAGTCCCCCCCTCGTCCTTCTCTTCATTAAATAACTTTTGTTGGTTTGTAGACACACCTCTCTGTGCTGAAGGGGTCATTCTGAATGTTTTACCTACATCTCCGAAAGGTACAGAACCCCCATACAAATCTGCCCTAATATTTGAGGGCTACTTCTGAAATTTGGCTGTTCCACCCATTATCTGACTGTGGCTGAAGGGCATGAGGCAAAGCTAAACCTGTAGAGCTGTTCATTTCCTAATCAGGCTGTTAGTCTGGCACCCTTTTTAAGATAACTTTATTACTGCAATTTGGGATCTGTTTACTTTAGTTTTGTAATGCCAAATGTGAACTTCGTGCCATTTTTATTAACTTGAGTATGTTTATAGAATGATAAAATGGACTTTATTCTGGCATACAAAAAGGACTGGGATTCAGTGCAGCTTTCCTGGCCTCCTTGAGGCTAGATCGCCCACATTGTCCAAGAGGAACATAGATAGTTAAGGGTTTGCAAAAGTGAAGCCCCTGTTTGTTTACCCTGCCCATTAATTTAGGTGGGAGTCTTCACCGGGAGATGTTTTGATGCATTTTGTTAGAAAGAAGACAAGAGATCAAGTCCCATAGCAGCATTTTAACACGAGCCTGAAAATGAAAATTGAAGACATATTTGTTTTGAAAGAGATTCTTATTAGATTCAGTGTAAGAGAAAAGAACATACTAAAAACTTAAAAGAGAAAAGGATTCCATTTCAGTGGAATAAATTGGAAGGCATCATTTTTACCTTTCAATAGAGATTTAGACTGAATTCACTTCAGAAGATAAGGGATTTTTTTTTTTGAAAGATATAAATGAGAATTGGAAGAGATGGAAATGGTGGTTTCAGAGGAAAATACATAACAGTCACAACAGAGGCAACAGGAATTGGAATAAAGATATTGCTAAATTAGGCGCTACAGATATGGAATTTCCTAAATTTTGGGCTGAAATATAGATTTGAAGTGTTTAACATGGAATATAAATGGAGCAAATGCTCCTCAAAAGAGGAAAAAATATTTCATTATTTGAAAAAAGTATAAAGCAAGACATCATTTACCCACAAGAGACTTATATCAGGAAAAAAGATATAAAATATTTAATCTATAAAACCTTAAGCGAAGAATTTATTCCAGCACAAAAAGAATTGGAGTCATTTTGTACATTAATCCTCGATTAAACCCAGGATTTTTTATTAATGATTAATATGGTAGATTTGTAGTCCTCGACTTATAACCATTTGTTTAAGAAGAGTTGAAACTTGTGATAGGCTCAGAATAAGTGACTTGCAACCTGTACTCCTACTTCTGCTACTCACTACTCACAACCATCGCACATGTGGTCACATGATCACAATTTTGACATGGATATGATATTCCATTGGAGAAAATAAATGAATATCTTAGAATGCAAAATTTAGCCACAATTACAGACGAGCAGAGAACACAGAATCATAGGGCTGGAAGGGACCTTAGAGGTCTCCTAAATCCAACCCCTTGCTCAAGGCAGAAGGCCTTATACCAGGGGTAGGCAACCTTGGCTCTTTTAGGACTGGTGGACTTCAACTCCCAGAATTCCTGAGTCAGCCATGCTGAGGGGAAAGGGAGAGGTTTCCAAGCTGAGCCATGCTGGCTCAGAAATTCTGGGAGTTGAAGTCCACGAGTCATAAAAGAGCCAAGGTTGCCTACCCCTGCCTTAAACCATCCTGGTCAATTGGTTGTCCAATCTATTTTTGAAAACCTCCAGTGATGAAGCACCCACAAAAAACAAATAAATTATAAAGGGACCAATAATAGTAAGGGGAGTTTCAGAAGCAACTGAAAAAAATAGACCAAGAAAGGTGCCTGGACCAGCTGCATTACCAAGTTTGTATTATACATGTTTTGAAGAAAGAACTTTTACAACTTTTACAAAACATGATGGGTTCTATTCTACAGGGAGGAAAGATGCCAGAGTCCCAGAAAGAGGCTAATATAACATTAATACCTAAAGAGGGACAAGATTTGACTTCAGCAAGAAGTTGCAGAATAATGAGTATAAATTGTTTGCAACAATTTAAGCTGAAAGATAGAAAATAACTTTGCAAAAATTTATTCATGAGGATCAATTAGGGTTTTTTACCTAAAAGTTAGTTGAAAGATAATGTTAGAACTATGTTAGATATTTTGGGATATTTGGAACAACATAATAAAAAAAAGAAGCTGCTTTGATCTTTTTAGATGCAGAGAAGGTTTTTGACAATTGGAACTGAATTTTCTTTTGAACTGTTTTTGGAATTGTGGAGAGAATTTTATTATATGGGTGAAATTGATTTATACTTCACAGATGGTACAAATAATCATTAATGCAGATGGTACAAATAATCATTAATGCAGATTTAACCAAAGCATGTGAGATACAAAAAGGAACACAATAAAGTTGTCCTTTGTCCCTTCTTTTGCTTATTTTAGTTCTTGAAATATTGAACAGATACATAAGGCAATATTAAAAGACTGCGGATAAAAAGATTAAAAAGGAGTCATACAAGTTAAGAGTTTTCACAGATTACTTGGTTGTGTTTTGGCTAACCCTTTCAAGGAAGTTAAACTTTTAATGAATAAATTAAAATAAATTGGAGCATTAGCAGTTTACTAGGTTAACAAACAGAAGACAAAGATGTTAACACAAAACATGAAGTTAAAGATCAAACAGAAATGATGAATAAAATATGTTGTAAGATTTAATACCTGATATTCATATAACAAATATGAACTGTTAAGTTATTTCAAAATAACTATGTTAGGACATGGAATGAAAAACAAAAGATATATCAAGCAGGGACAAAATAAGTTGGCACTGCTGCATAGAATTTCTGTAATTAAAATATTTTACCTAGAATGTTGTTTTTGTTTCAGACAGTAACCATTTTGACAACTGATCAATGGCCAGAGGGTAAATCTAAACTTGTATGCAAAAGAAAGCATCCCAAGTTAAATGTAAGGCAAATACAAGGTGCAAAGGAGAGGAGAATTGGGTCTATCACAGGGGTAGTCAACCTTGGCTCTTTTATGACTCATGGACTTCAACTCCCAGAATTCCTGTGCTGGCTCAGGAATTCTGGGAGTTGAAGTCCACGAGTCATAAAAGAGCCAAGGTTGACTACCCCTGGTCTATCAGATTTGAAATTATACTTTGCTGCCTGCTGTTTAACGTGAATAAAGAGTGGGTGTTGTTAACAATAGAAGGCTATT